GATTGTTCGATGAGGAACATAAAATGATATTTTAATTATCTAAATTGTAAATTTTAAATATGAATTGTGATTAGACGGACAAAAACAGAATAATTAGTTGTTATTTCACAATATGACGCAACTATATCATCTTATGAAATAACAACGTTAATAACAGCACACGCATTCATAAATATTATCACATATGGTTCAAAATCTCGTAACAAGGACAAGTGAACGTCTACCGACAAAGCAACTCTCATTTCCTATTACGCCTTTGATGCAGTTCAAGGTCATTCTGTTAACGTGTCCTCTCAAAGACTGTTGTTTGGAATGAAGAAATAAGCTCGCTACTACAAAGTTAACTGGACTTTCATTTCGAGGAATGTTGTATTTGTTGAGGCCCTGGAGTCTCGAGAGAGAAGAGAAATGCTGCGACAACACTTGTAATATAGGGGCTTGACTGCAGTTAGCGAGTCATCCAATCAGTTCCGTCTCTCGGAGGGACGCCGTCACCGCCCCCCCCCCCCCCCCCAAAAAAAAAAATCAAATACTTTCTTCGTTTGCCAGAGAGTTCGCAGAACGCGAGTCTTTTAAAATATTTCGGCGTTTGTTTATTTAATCCATACTTTTTCGATTTTTTAAGTTTTGGTATTATTTTTATATAAGTTTTAAAGCTGTGCACATCAAATCAGAAATCAGAAGACCACACGTTAACAGTTTTCGCATGAGCTGTAGGTAATAAGACTTGAACCGACTGCGGTTTGATTGTCGGGCCCCTTGGTCATTCTCTGATACCACACGCCATACACTGTATTCGAATATCGTAGCTTCTCGTCGTGAAACAGAATTTTTCTTTCGACCTGTTGTCTCGTACGTGGACACAACCCTGCGGGTGTTGTGCTGTGGAGACTAGAGGCAGATTAACGAAATCGCATCACAGGTTTGGTTGTCGATCGATCTCATTGCTGCCAACTGCAGTGGGAAAGCCTATTTATTTAATACGTGTACAGGTATGACTCGGTTTACGCCGGGGTTAGGTTCCTGAGATTTCCGGCGTAAATTTAAGCAAAAATATAATGGGAACATATGTAAATACATTAGGTTCCGTTCCAAGATTTTCAGTAATCAACATAAAATACTTGAAAAATGTTTTATATTATGAAATTTACGTATTGAAAATCGTATCATGTTTAAGAAAAAAGAAAGAAAATTGTATGCTTTAAAAACGATAGGATAGATGTCTGTTTTGGTTTTCTTTTTTTTCTGATAATAAGTTATAGTATGGCTGTAGAACTTTATCAATTCCTCTCTTAACAGTTGAGCTCCGCTCCCAGTTGGGGTCGTTGCTACAGAAGATCTCACATCCCTTGTTAATAAGAGCAGTAGCATCTTGCATTGATTTCACTGTTAGTGTCCTAACCGGCATTGCAGAGTCAGCTTAACTTTCGTCTGTCTTCATTGAACAGTTTTCCAGTTAGCTCTTCTAAACCTTCCGTTGAAAGCTCTTCACCATGAATATCAAGGAGCTCATTTATGCCACCAACTTTTACATCATCTAGTTTTTTGTTTAATTAATTAAATTGTAGGACTTAGTTTATCATTTAGTATTATAGTTTTATTACAATGTCGGGACCATCTGTGTCTAGGAAGTCGGGCAGAGTCATGACCCCCTCCAATCGTGATCTGTGAGAGGCGCAAAAGTGAATCTGGCGTAAATTTAAGCGGCGCAAACCGAGTCCTACCTGTATAATATAACATCCTACGTACCAAACGTTCCGCTTAGATGTATGCAAATATACGCATATTCATATAAAATGTTTCCCTGCACCGAAGTAACTGTGTATGAATATTTTAGTCTCTTCTGCTATGTTAATTAAAATTAAAACAAGATTTAATCGGTAAACTTTAATTGGAATATCATCAGGAACCCAACTGATAACTGCCTTTAATTTAGAAAATAGCACGCAGTTAGGGTAAATGTTTTGAGATTGAGTAGTAGTCTGAGTTCTGCTGTTAGGGTTAAGAACAGTCTGTAGTAAAAGCTAAAAGAGGAAATAAACTTAAATTACTGTTTCACAAATGAACCTCGGGTTCCATTATATCTGTCGTTTGAAGGAGACGTAGGCATTTTCGTGCAACGTACAAAACAGACAGATTCGTGGCTTCGCTTCTAAATTTTGTTTACCCAGGGATGAGAATGGCATTAAAGTTAATTTTGTAACGAAATGGTGGGCGAAGGTAAATAAAGTTAGGGAACTATTTTAACAGCGGTCGTGACTTTATTTTGTATGTAATTTAACTACTCTGCTCTGGGTGCAGTCGGGTGTCAGGTAAAACCTCAAAATGCGAGCCGGAATTAATGAGAGGGAAGAAAAGAATTGGGGGGGGGTAAAGGTTCCCAGGCAGTGCCCACTCGTCCTTCTGGTAAACGTAGGTTGAAGAAAAGGTTAGACGTTTGGAAATGGATAAGGTAGGCCGATGAGTTGAGCTGGGTCTTAAAGCGTTCGTACACAATTTTGAGTACATTTGGGGAAAATTAAGTGTTAGCGGAGGGGACGTATGATTTGAGGTTTTCGCAGCAGTGAGTCTGAAGATGACTGGCTTCTGTGTTGTTGCGTCGTACGTTCTGGTAGAAGTTTGCCGATGTCTCATAAGTCCTTGATGCCTCCGTCATTTAATATAGGTTACTGCATTGTGTTATTAATAAAATATTTGTGAATACTTTAGCATCTGCATCAAATTTCTTTTGTAGGTCAGTTTGGGTTTTAACACTTTCTGTGCTACTCACGAGATATTTCATAAAATTGTCTAGATTTATGAGATATTTATAATAATGAAAGAAACGTGTCGCGTCATCTGCCAATAGCTAGACTATCAAATTATTCTTTGTAATAGAACAGTAAATTTATGATACATTATCACAACACGTAACTGGTAGAAGACATTTTCTTTGAGAAAGTTAGCAGATGTACACACAGCATATAAATTCTGGTGATTTTGGTGTAATTTTGTCTCTGAGTTATCAATTCGTGAATCCTAACTTTTAATGTCCTGTTATAATGAGTGTAAAGAAAATTAAATTGATGTACAAGGAACGGCTTTAAGAGGCCAATTATCTCGATAGCCGTAAAGTTTGCAAAAAATACGTATTGACCATAAAAAATGCCAATTTATATAACATTTCCTGCGTATCTTAGTTTTCAAATATTCATTTATGATGACAATTAGGACTTATTTTCGTCTAAAAATGTCAAAATGCGTCTCGGGTTTGAATTATGACAGACATTTCTGAACTATATAATCAGACACAAAAGATTAACATCGGATGTTCTTATGTTTTAGCTGTTCTGTTGGTAACACGCAAATTTGCGGCCGGGAACATTCAATTTGATTCCTCTGTAACCCAAAATGCCGCGCTAGTTTATTAGGAATGCACACAGACGCCCCTTCCGGAAGTTAGTTTTCAATTTTTGATGAGATTAGTGTTCAAATAATTACCGGTGTTATTAAAATACTGCGGTTTCGTTATCAAGTACAGTGTTGGAACAGCGATTTGTGGGGAAGTTATAGCGAGACAAAACCAGAGCGGATTATCATGTGATGTGAGTGACGTTTTGCAATTTTATGACTGATACTTAATGTGGTGGTGGGTGTTTCCAGATCCGAGTGTTGACATACGTGGCATCATATATGTCTACATTGAATGACTATTGTTGAGGCTTTATTGTCGCGTGATTTTATACGTGACGCGACGTGTTCCATATGATACCGAGTGTTTCAGTTCCCCTGTCTTGTCGTCTGTTTACTGATGATATGAGGCATAATTAACTAACTGGATGGCTTACCGAACCCGAAGGTTCATCACCGAATTAACCAAAGCCCTCCACCGGACCCTGTCCTGGGCCAACAAAATCCAGTCTCCTTCAACTCCTATCTCCCATAGATCCCACCTGAGATTATCCTCCCATCTACGTCTAGGTCTCCAAAGCGATCTGTTCCCCTCAGGCTTCCCAAATAGTGGACCCAACCAAC